AAGACTCTTTCCTTGTCTGAGGGAAGACCTGTTGTTTGTCTAAGGGAAACCCATGGTTTGTCTCAGGAAAAACCCATTGTTTGTTGGAGGGAAGACCCTCTACTTGTCTGGGGGAGGTCCCTCTATTTGTCTGAGGCAAAACCTTTTATTTGCTGAGGGAAGACCCATCGTTTGTCTGAGAGACGACCTTTTACTTGTCTGAGGAAAGACCCTTGTTTGTCTGAGGAAAGACCTTTTACTTGTCTAAGGAAAGATCCTTTACTTGTCTGAGGGAAGACCCATTGTTTGGGGAAGAACCAGTGTTTGAGGGAAGACCTGTTACTTGTCTGAAGGAAGACCCTTTCCTTATCTGAGGGAAAACCCATTGTTTATCTGAGGGAAGACCCTTTCCTTGTCTGAGAGAAGAACTGTTACTTGTCTGAGGGAAGACCCTTTGTTTTTCTGAGCAAAGACCCATTGTTTGAGGAAAGATCCATTGTTTGTTTGAGGGAAGACCTGTTACTTGCTGAGGGAAGACCGGTTGTTTTTCTGAGCAAAGACCTGTTGTTGTCTGAGGGAAGATCCATTGTTTATCTGAGGGAAGACCCCTTGTTGGTCTGAGGAAAGGCCTTTTACTTGTCTAAGGAAAAACCCTTTCCTTGTCTGAGGGAAGACCCATTGTTTGTCTGCGGGAGGAACCGGTATTTGAGGGAAGACCTGTTACTTGTCTGAGGGAAAACCCATTGTATGTCTGAGAGAAGACCCTCTACTTGTCTGGGGGAAGACCCTCTACCTGTCTGAGGGAAAACCCGTTACCTGGTGAGGGAAGACCCATTGTTTGTCTGAGAGACAACTCTTTACTTGTCTGAGGAAAGACCTGTTACTTGTCTCAAGAAAGATCCTTTACTTGTTTGAGGGAAGACCCTTTCCTTGTCTGAAAGAAGACCTTTTACTCGTCTGAGGGAAGAACCAGTGTTTGTCTGAGGGAAGAACTAGGTATTTGAAGGAAGACCTGTTACTTATCTGAAGGAAGACCCTTTCCTTGTCTGGGGGAAGACCTGTTGCTTGTCTGAGGGAAACCCATGTTTAGTCTGAGGGAAAACCCATTGTTTGTCTGGGGGAAGACCTTTTACTTGTCTGAGGGAAGACCCTTTCCTTGTCCAAGGAAAGACCTTTTACTTGTGTAAGGAAGGACCTTTTACCAGTCTGAGGGAAGACCCTTTGTTTTTCTGAGCAAAGACTCATTGTTTGTCTGTGGGAAGACCCGTTCTTTTTCTGAGGGAAGACCTGGTAGTGTTTGAGGGAAGACCCAGTGTTTGTCTGAGGGAAGAACCAGTGTTTGAAGAGGGGCTTGTTACTTGTCTGAAGGAAGATGCTTTCCTTGTCTGAGGAAAACCTGTTAACTTGCTGAGGGAAGATCCATTGTTTGGGGGAGGAACCAGTTTTTGAGGGAAGACCTGTTACTTCTCTGAAGGAAGACCCTTGTCTGACGGAAGACCTGTTACTTGTCTGAGGGAAACCCATGGTTTGTCTGAGGGAGGACCTGTTACTTCTCTGAGGGAAGACCCATTACTTGTCTGAGAGAACACCTGTGATTTGTCTGAGAGAAGACCCTCTCCTTGTCTGGGGGAAGACCCGTTTTTCTGAGGGGAGACCCTCTACTTGTCTGAGGAACAGTCTGTTACTTGCTGCGGGAAGACCCATTGTCTGTCTGAGGGACGACCCTTTACTTGTGTGAACCTGTGGTTCATCTGAGGAGAGACTCAATTGTTTGTCTGAAGGAAGACCTGTTACTTGTGTGAGGAAAGACCCCTTGGTATCTGAGGAAAGACCTTTTATTTGTCTGAGGGAAGACTCTTTGTTTTTCTGAGCAAAGACCTGTTGTTTGTCTGAGGCAAGACCCATTGTTTGTTGGAGGGAAGACCTGTCGCTTGTCTGAAGGAAACCCTTTCCTTGTCTGAGGGAAAACCCATTGTTTGTCTGAGGGAAAACCCATTGTTTGAAGATCCATGATTTGTCTGAGAGAAACCCTGTACTCATCTGGGGGAAAACCCGTTGTTTTTCTGAGGGAAGACCCTCTACTTGTCTGAGGGAAAGAAAACCTGTTACCTGCTGAGGAAAGTCCCATTGTTTGTCTGAGAAAGGACCCTTTACTTGTCTGAGGGAAGACCCATTATTTGGGAAGGAACCAGTGTTTGAGGGAAGACCTGTTACTTGTCTGACGATGACTTCTTCCTTGTCTGAGGGAAGATGTGTTACTTGTCTGAGGGAAACCCATGGTTTCTCAGAGGGAGGACCTGTTTGTCTGAGTGAAGACCCATGATTTGTCTGGGAGCAGACTCTCTCCTTGTCTGGGGGAAGACCCGTTATTCTGAAGGAAGACCCTTTACTTGTCTGGGGAAAAACCTGTTACTTGCTGCGGGAAGACACATTGTTTGTCTGAGGGACGACCCTTTACTTGAGTGAGGGATGACCCCTTGTTTGTCTGAGAGAAGACCCATTGTTTTTCTGAGGGAAGACTTGTTACTACTTGTCTCAGGTAACACTGTTGTTTGTCTGGGTGAAGACCTGTCACTTGTCCAAGTGAATACCCATCACTTTTCCGAGAGAAGACCTGTTACTTGTGTGAGTGAAGACTCAAACTCTTTTTCTGAGTGAAGACCTGTTCAATGTGTGATTGTAAACCTATTGTTGGTCTGAGTGTAGACCCATTGTTTGAGGGAAAGGCCAGTTGTTTGAGGGAAAACCCATTGTTTGCTGAGTGAAGATTCATTTTTTGTCTGAGGGAAGACCTGTTTTTCATATGAGCCGAAACCCATACTTGTCTGAATGAGAAGATTGTTGTTTCCTCCTCCCCACTTTACATGGAAGTCCAGGGTAATTCTCATCAAAACCTTAACAGCAGTTTCTGTAAAACAGCTGTTATGGGAATTGTGTGCAGCAAGCACAGGGAGAGGGAACGGCAGTGACAACTACTGGGGAGTGATTACACGGGGATTTCTGCAGAAATGGGAAAGCATTGAGTGAGCGGAACAGGAAATCCGTGACAAACCTGTTTGTACGTGAAAATGTAGTGTGCTGTAAGGATGAGGTTTTTAGTTTGTGGTCAAGGGATCATGAACTTTCCAGTAAGTGTCATTGGGACAATTGATCTTTCGGGGGAGAAAGTGGAGGTGGGCTTTTTACATCATGGCACATAGCAAGTATTAACTCCATTCTGGAATTAGCGGCGATGGCTGCACAACTCAGGATGCTAACAACCACTGAATTTTATACTTTAAAAGCATGACTTTTAGGGCAGGTAAATTATATCTCAGTAAAGCTGTTGTTTTAAAAAGTGAATTACAGAAGATTTGAGGTGTCGACATAAAATATTGAACTGTGGAAGAAAATGTTAGAAATTATATTTTAGTTTCAAATAAAGAAGGCCTTCTGGTGGGAGACACAAACCCAGAACCCCCAAAGGGAAAGATGGGCAGGTTTGAGTGCCCAGATAAAGTCTCAACATTTTTGTGGAATAAGAAATACCAGAAGCAAAGCGTGACTTGATAGGGAAAATATTTATAACTATTTAACAGACAAAGGATTGCCGTCTTTTATGTGTGTAGCTCCTACTGATGAATGAGGAGGCAAGGACGCAGTTTGGACTGAGGATTTGGTCACATGAGACACAGTGCAAGAAATAGGAAAGTATGTGAAGCTGTGGGAGACGTCTTGCTCAGCCCCTTGTGTCCTTGGGGAATGGAGACCAAAGTGACCACACCACCCCTCTGGAGGGCTCGTGGTACCTCCGTGGGCACTGCTGGTGGCAGCAGTTTGGGAACCCCACATCTGCAGAGAGCAGCATGTGTCTGTAGGTCTGTCATGGAGGAGCTTGGCTTGTGTAGAACGCAGCCTCATTGTGAAGCTGACTAGGGGGCCTGTCGATTAGGGGACGGGAAAGTTACTGTGTGCCACCCCACGAAGAACCAGGCCCGGGGTGTGTGTGACCACATCCCTGCCTCGGAGTGGGTGGAAAAGGGGTGAATGGATACCCACACGTTTTAGTGTCTTTGTGTCCATGTATTACCTGTGTGGATAGAAAAGATAAATACAGCAGAAAAAAATGAGGTACCTGTGTTGCTTTGATACAGAGGGAGTTCCAAAACATGTTGCAATCACAAGAAAGTTTCATTCACGAAGTTGTGTTTGGTGTTCTGCCAGGCAGCAGGCAGAAGCATGCTTTACTTGTCTGAGGAAAAACCTGTTACTTTTTTTGTGGAATAAGAAATTTCATGGAATAAGAAATTACGCGTTCAGGCCCATTTGTGCGAAACCTTGGTCGGAGGGAGTGTGAGAAGCACTAGTGTGATGGCCCTGGGGGCTGCCCTGGACCTTGGGTGGGGTCGAGGGTGGGTTTTGCATTCTGTTATCATTTTGTGGCCTCTGGAAATCTTTTTACTGTGCATGTTTTGTGACTTTTTTAAACATTTTTTTGAAACTTTTATTTTTGAGAGAGACACAGAGCGTGAGCGGGGGAGGGGCAGAGAGAGAGGGAGACACAGAATCCGAAGCAGGCTCCGGGCTCTGAGCTGTCGGCACAGAGCCGGACGCGTGGCCCGAACCCACAAACCGTGAGATCATGACCCGAGCCGAAGTTGGACGCTTAAAAGGCTAAGCCTCCCAGGCGCCCTTGTTTTATTACTTTTTAATTGAATTCTGCTCCACATAAAATGCACCGAGTGCACTGATCTTAGACGTACAGCTGATGGTCTCTTACATGCTGGGGGAGCTGCCTTCTGATCAGTACAGAAATAGAGCGAAGGGGCAGCCCGCCTGGGATGGGGCTCTCGAGCAGGGAGTGGGCCCCGGGCCCCGGGCACGTTGTGGACATGGCACTTGTGTTTGCCCCACCCCGCCTGCACGCATGCGTCTCCGGCGCTGACCGCCTGGGTGTCTGGTAATGTATTTTTATGGAGTCCCCTCCACTGAAGGGTCTCATCGGTTGTATTTTCTTTCTGGCTCATTGTGTGGCCGACCAGACGGACGGCGAGTCTGAAGAGGAGCAGGAATCAGCCGGCACCGGGGAGGAGGACGAGGATGGAGACGAGTCCGATCTGGTAACCCCAGCCCTGCGCTCTCATCTGTGTGTGGTGGCAGAGTAAAGCAAGAAGCTCTGTAGTCCGGCCGTCGTTGGGAGTGTGTGCTTGGAATCAGGGCCTGTGACTCAGGTCCCAGACCTTGGCGAGGAGCGTGAGAATGACCGCTGAGCAGAGAGCCAAAGGCTTGGCACGGGCACTCATGGGACGGTCCGGGCCAGGCGGCCATCCGGGCGGAGGTCGGGGCTCTGGTGCGAGGGGTGGTGGGACGGGGAAGAGCGGACGGCGAGGACAGCGGCCATGATTCTGCCCGGTGACCAGTGTGAGGGGGAAGGAAGGATCTGAGGTGTCTGAGGTGGAGCGGCAGAACCTTTTGCGGGCTGGGTGTCACATGCAGGTGAGGGGCCAGAGGGCGGGGGCGCTGGGTCTGTGGGAATGGAGGAGCAGGGCTTGGAAATGGGGGAGAGCACGAGCCCTAGGGTGGGGCCTGGGAAGCACCCAACAGGTACACATTAGGCAGAGAAGGAGGAGTTGATGTGAGACTGGGGAGGGTCACGTGAGCTGAGAAATGCTTTCAAGAGGGAGACGGTGGCCACTGGCGTCAGTGTGTCACGAGAAGAGGCCCTGGGAGGGATGATTGGGTCGGGTGATAAGCCTTCGTTTCTCTGGAATGGCGGGTTGAAAGCAACAGCGAGCTTGGGGGTAGTGCTTGCGGAAGTTGGGTCTGAAGTTTGGCAGTAAGGGGGGGCGGGGGTGAGGCAGAGGGGATGCAGCACAGGCTGCATCGGGCTGCTTGTGATGTGGCAGAGGGGTCCTGTGTGTGCTGGCCCGCCGTGGTCAGAGCCAGGCATCGGGCACCGGGGGCCGGAAGGGCCCGCATGCTCCTCTGTCTTTGGAACAGTCTTTTCCAGCTCCTCTGTGTGTCCGTAGTGAGCAGGAATGTGAGGTCCTCGCATTAGACCGGTGACAGGTGGCAGTTCTGTGGGTTTGTTTCTAATTCGTGGTCATTAGATGCCTTTCTGCATCCAGACTTTAGAAATAGGTAGTCATAAAAATCTTAAAATATTACGAATTAATTATAACTTCTTTCCTTGTCCTCCATGTAGATAATTAACGTGGACATAGATTCTGAAGCAAATTGAGGCCTTGAGTGTTTCTTTTCTCATAAGCAGAATGAATGGATGCATAAAGTAAAAGTGGATTTGCTCACTGAGAGGTTATTTATTCAGTTCCTGAGTAGAACCTCCTCATTCTTTTTTGTGCCAAATTCGAATAAGATTTATAAATTCCATTTAAATGTTCTTGGTCTTCCTTTTTTTTTTTTTTTTTTTTTTTTTTTTTTTTTTGGTCTGTAAAATAACAACTTAGAGTGATTTAGGGGAAAACATGAGTATTTTTAAGAATGAGATCAGAAAAATGTCTGGAAGTGAAATTAATCTTCCAGTTGAAGAATCACGATATAGTAGGTATTCTGTTTTGCAGGAAAACAAAACTTCTGGTACCTTTTGCTTTTCAGGAGCTCTCATGCTTTGCTTTTTCTATTCCTGCCCCTTTGGTTCTCAGAGTTCTGAATCCAGTATCAAGAAGAAGTTTCTCAAGAGGAAAGGGAAGCCTGACAGCCCCTGGATCAAGCCTGCTAGGAAACGGAGGCGGAGAAATAAAAAGAAGCAAAGCAGTATCCTGGGTAAACGTGGTGTCCACACTTGCAGACACTCTGGGTGGCGGTGGGGCCACAGGAAGCTGGCCTGGGGTGGGGGTGGGGCTTCTACATAGGATTTCATTAGAAAAAGGGCTCCTCTGTTTTAAGGGGGAGAATATCTGGACCTTGTTACAGGCACTCAGGTGATCCTCAGGTGGCTTCCTTCTGGCAAACCTCCCCTGATGCTGGCTCCGTTGTTGAATGTTGAGCTGATGGGGGTCATTCATCTCCTTCCCTGTGTGTCCCACAATCTGTGGCTTGTGAACATTGTTATGGTTACTGTGTCTACCCTCGGTGTCAGGTGCAGGCAGTGTCAGCCCGGGTCCACACAGTGGCTTTTGACCCTTTGGTCACATTCCCCTGTTCTGGAAATAATTTTGTTAAAAGAGGATCAGGGAACGAAATGACCCTGAAATCCAGAAGGTGAGCAGGCCTAGTGGGCCAAAGGTCACTTCTTACAGCTTTGTTGCACAAGATTTGTTGCTTGTGATAGAGTGTATGTAATTCATGTGTAAGGTGGTGACTTTTCACGCACGTGTATGACCCTGAGACCTCCAGTACAGGCCCCGGAGTGAATGCCTTGCTGTCACTTGGTGGCCTTTCCCTCTTCCCAGCCAGCCCTTCCTGTCCCTAGGCTCTCTCCTCCGTGCTCTGTATGCAGATTGGTTAGCACTGTCTAGGGCTCTATTTGAGTGGATCATTGGGTAGGTACCCTTTCCCCAGTGGCTTCTTTGTGCATTACTTTTTGAGTCCTCCACGTTGTAGTACCGGTGGAAAGTTGGCCATGGTGTGGCTGTCCTGTGGTTTATCCTTCACCTGTTGATGGACATTTGGGCTCTTTCCGGTTTTTGCTTCTTCCAGATAAAACTGCTACGAACATTTGTATATGATCTTCATTAAACAGATGCCTTCATTTATCTTGGGTAAATATTTAGGAGTGGAATGCCTAAGTTATATGCTGTATGTCTAATTTTTTAGGTAAATACCGGACGGTTTTCAGTAAGAAACCTGAATACTGCTCTCTTTTACTTTCCCACAGCAGCATGAGAGCTCCACCCCTCCGTGTCCTTGCCACCCTTGTCATGGCCCGGCCTCTTCAGTCCCGGCGCTGCTGGGGCTCTGCGGGCCTCCCTGCGCCTTCACTTTGTATTTAGCCAGTGAGTAGTGAGGTGGCTCACCGTGGCCCTGTGTACCTTCCTTTGTCAAGGTTTCTCTCCTTCCCTCATTTAAAAATCAGATTGTACACCTTCTCATTGACTTCCAAGAGTTCTTTCAGTTTTCAGGTACAAATCTTTTGTTATATACATGTTTTGCAAATACATACGCCTAGTAAAAGCTTAAAAAATTTTGTTGAGGTCTAATTTATCAATTATTTTCTTTTAAAATGCTTTTTAGGATCTCTGAAATCTTTCACTAAGTCAGATCACAAGGATTTTGTCCTGTATTTTCTTCTTGAAGTTGTGAGCTAGTGCTGTGTATGGTGTGCAGCAGGGCCACTCTCGTTTTGCGTGGGGATGCCCAGTTCTGCATCATTGCTTAAATTGACAGCTTTCTGTGTCGCCCTGTGAACCTTTGTCGACAGTTGCCGTAGGGGCTGTTTCATTTGCTTGCTTATGTTTACACCAGCACCCAGAGCCGAGGGGCTTGTGCTGTTCGTCTCCAGCCCCCCGGTGCACACGTCGGTTTGTTGAGTAGGTGGCAGGGAGGCAGAACTGTCCCCCCAGAGCAGAGGAGAGCTGTGTGTGGCGCCCTCGAGCCTCCCATGAGCTCCGTCTCCTTCACTCACGTTTCCTCTTCTCTTTGCTGCGGGTGACCAGCCCATGTGGCTTTTATGCAGGCGAACAGAAGCGTTGCTAGACCCCAAGACTTGGATATGATGCGTAAGAAGCATGCTTCAATGTTTATTCACACAGGAATTTGAATTGTACTTCTTTCTGCAAAGTGTTTAAGATTGCACAGACTACTCATGTTCTTCAGATTGGTGGTGATGATTTCTCACCGTGGTTGGCTTCTTCCTGTCTGTCGGTGAGCCAAGGTACAGAGTGTGGCACGCATTCAAAGGCCTCAGATGCCACACTGCTCTGAGTTATGGCTCACTTACGTGTGATCACTGACATATCATCGGTTACTAATGTTCGGAAGCTTGGTGTGAAATACGGACACCTGCCGTTTGCTGGCTTTAGATATTACCCTGTGTAGGTGCGTGCTATCCACAGGCCTCCCTGGTGAAGTCCGCTCACAATGGCAAGGACCCACGCGGGCTCTCTGGGGATGTGTGGACAGGCTGGCT